GCTTTAATTATTAATTAAAAGATAAAGATATAAATAAAGGGTATTTTTTTTAATAATAAGGTTAAGTTAAAAAGTTAAAGGTATAGCCCTAGAGCTTTAAAATAAAGATTAAAAGCGTTTAAAAAGAAATGTTAATATTATTATCTTTTTAACTATAATATTCTTTAATAATAAAATATATATCTTATATAATAAATATTAAAAAGCGTTCCTATAAATATTTTTACTAGATATAGTAAAGGTATTATATTAAGGGGATAAAGAATATAAAACCCTTTATATTATATTTATAGCTATAGTTATTTATAATAAAAAAGTATAGCTAAAATCTTATTAGGGGTATATATATTATAATAACTTAGAAAATTTATTATTTAAGAGTTAGAAAGATTTTAAAATATATACCCTAAAAAAGAAGTTTAAAAAGAATATTAAAAAGGAATTTTAAAGGTTAAAAAATATAAATGCTTTAAAGGTTATATTTAAAAAGCAGTTTAAAAATGCTTTACTATTATTAAAATGGGTGTTTATCTATAAGTTCGATAAAGAGGGCTATTTAAAAATATACAAATTGTAAATAATTGTAAAAGGAGACCTTTAAGCAGAAAATACCTTATAATTAACCTATACTATAATTCTAGCTACAAAAACATTTAAACTAATAATAGTGCTAATAGTATATTTAAATTTAGAAATTAAATAGTATAATATAATAAAGGCGTTTTTAAATACTATTTAAAAAGAGTAAAGTATAGTTATAGTAAATTTCCTTAAAGGATTTATAAATAGAAATAAAGTTAGTTTATTAATATATACTTTATATAGGTTATAGGATTTATTATTATTATAATATAAAAAGTTTGTAAAAATACTTTAAATTAATAATATAATTACTTTTTTAAAAAAGCTATACCTATTTTACATTTTAAATTACTATATATTTATTATTTTTTATATTAATAACTTTTTAATCTTATATAAAAAAGATTATTAATTTTAAATATAAAAGATTATTAATTAAATTAAAGGCATTTATAAGCTTAAAAAATAAAGAAATGCCTTATAATTCTTTAATATAAGGATAATTAAAGATAAAAAACGAAAGATTATAATATTACTTTATAATTAATATATTAAAAAAGTAATAAAGTATTATAGATTTAATAATTAAAGTTAGGTATTAATAATTCCTTTACTATATAAGGAATTAAAAAAGTTTTTAAAACAGGCTATAAAGTATAAAATTAAAGCATTTTAAAAGTATATTAAAACAATTCTATATAATACTATTATATTAAAACCAGATATAACTTATATAATAATATAATTATTAAAGTTTTTAACTAATCCTAGGCTAGATTATTTAAAAGCAATAAACTAAATTATTAAATATATATATATTATAAGGTTTTTATATATTATATATAACAATTAAAATATAAGTATATAAATGTTTATTATAATAGAAAATGCCTTCTTTATAAATAATTAAAAAATTAGGTACTTTTTATATAGATATATTATTTTATTATTTAAAGGTACAATTATATAAAAAGTAATATAATAAAGTATAATTATTATATTAATAATTAAAACTAAAATAAATGCTTTATTATTTATAAAAAAGGAAATAATAGCATTTAAGCAGCTTTTTAAAAATATTATATATAACTTTAAAAAAGTATAAATAATCTTCTTAAATAACTAATAAGCTATACATTTTATAATAGGAAAAAATAAACGTATTAATATTTAACTTTACTATATAAATATCTAAAATATATAAATAAAATAAAAATATATTAAAAGATCTTTTAAAGTTATATATTTATTAATAATATAAATATTTACTAATAGACTTATTAAGAATATATTAAAAATATAATTTAAATATTTTAAAGCGCTTATTAATTTAAAAGATAGAAATGCTATAATTATAAAAAGCAAATAAAAAAATAAATATATAGTTGATTTTAGGTATAAGGTTCCCTTTAATTTCTATTTAAAAACTTAAACTAAATTAAAACAATAAATAATAGATTATACCTTATAAAAATAATAATATAATAATAGGAGGAAAAGGAGGAAGAAAAAAGTATCCTTTTTAAAAGAAAAAGCTAAATATAATAGGTTTATCTTCTTCTTTTTTTTCTTCGTCTTTTTTATCTTCGTCCTTAAAGAACAGGAAACTATTAAGCATAGCAATACTGGAGATAGGCATTACTTAATTAATGGGGAAAGGTATAGCATTCTTCTTCATCTTTTTCTTTTTTTACTATTCCGAGGAATAGGTAGTATAATAAAACTTAATAGCCTTTATAAAGGTATTCTTTAAGAAAAACGCCTTATAAAAGGTTATATAAGCCTTTTAAATAGCTTAAGCACTTATTAAATAATTAAAATATATTAAAAGAATTATAAAAAGGGAATTAAACTTATATTTTTATTAATTATAAGGGCTAAAAGAGCAATAATAATAATAATAATAGTAATAATAGTATAATAAAGGTTATAAAACTAATTAACCTAATTATTCCAATTAAATATATATTATAAACCTTATAACTATAAAAATTTAATAATTTTACTTTAGCTTTTCCTATATTATTAACCTAAAAGTGCTAAAGGCGCCTTATAATAAAAAAGAAATATTTAAAGTATTTATATAAGTATATATAGTTTATAATTCTTTTAGCATTAAAGGTATTAAAAATCCTTTCTAGCTACTTATTTATAAATGCTTAACCTTTTAATAAAGGAGGATTAAGTATATTAATTATAGGGAATTAGGGTAAGTCCTAATACTATTAATAATTAGGCGCTAAAGCTAAAAGCGGTAGAAAAAGCAGGTAAGGGTATAATAGGGAAGAAAGTATAGTAAAAGTAAATAAAGGTATAAATAATATATATAACAATTAATATATCTTTTTTCTCTTTTTTTTCTTTATTATTTTTATTATTATTATTATTATTTTTATTTTTATCCTTATTTTTATTATTATTAATAATAATAATAAGGGCAATAGGGGTAAATGAATAAAGGGGGGGAGCTAAATATAAAGGTAATATAGGTATAAAAGAAAAAAGGGGGATAAAGCTAAAGTTAAATAAGCATAAAAAAAAGGGTTAAAATTTATATTAAGTTTTTCCTATATTAATATTTATATTACATTTTTTATAAATTTTAAATAAAAGTATATTATACTTTATAAAAATCGATTAAAAATAGGCTATAAAAATATATTTATACATTGGAATTATTACCTTCCTTTAAAAAGGAAAGGCTAATAAGGTAGAAATAGGAAAAAGCTTATAATAATATCTTTATATATATATATTAATATAATTCTTTAAACCTTAAAAGTATATAATATTAATAATATAAATAATATTAAACTATAATAAATATACTTTTAAAAAATATATATTTTAAGAAAAATAATACTATATAAAAAAAATAATTTATTAAATAAGGTTTTAACTATTAATAAAAAGTAAAAAGTTAATAAATATATTATAAAATAAAAGGAGCTATATATATTATATAATATATTAAAAATTATAAAAGGATAAAAAGGAAAAAAAAAAGAGAAAAGGCTTTATTTTAAAATATTAAAGGGGATATATATCCTTTATATATTATACTTTTAAATATATAATTATTATAATAATATTAAATAAATAAATAATAAAACTTTATATAATAATAATACTTTTTAATAAAGTATTTATTAATATATTAACTTTAAATATTATATTTAATAAATATAAATAATAAAGGTTATTTTAATAAATATTAAATAATTAATAATATAAATTTTATATACTAACTTTAAATGCTATTATAATAAATATTAAAAGTAAAGTATTATAAATAATATATAAAAATAATTATATAATTTAACGCTATAAATTTAAAAAATATTAATTAAAGTAAATATATTAATAAAAAGTAAAGTATAAGGTATTTAAGTTATTTTATTTATTTTAATTAATAAAGGGTTAAATATATATTAAAAAAAATTAAATAAAAATACTTTTAAAGTTAAAAAGATAAAAATAGGTTTAAATATATAAAGAAAATATTAAATATATTATAGTTTATTAATTATATGGAGCGTTAAAGTTAAGCAATTAAATATATAGCAATACTATTTAATTAGGAGGTATATAATAAAGTAACGCGGTACTTTTATTAACGGTATAACGCTTTTGCTAATGGTGCAGCGCTTTTAGCTAGTGGCGCAGTGTGCCCCTGATAAGGGCGCACTATACCCCGGCAGAAGCGTACCTATAAGGGCGCTTCTGGCAGGGGCGCTACGCTCCAAGGATTAGCCGGAATGCCTATATAGTTAGAATTTTCCACGCACTTTATTGCAGAATTAATAATAAAACAACGCTTTTAACTTGACTTTAGAAATGCTGCCTGGAAATGCCGGTTCGATTCTGTTAACTATAAATATCCGTCAGACTATACCTGTCATTCAAAGTAGTCAGACGGTGATCTAGGAGGAAAAACGAAGATCACACCTGTCCTCTATCCAACTTGCTTAAGCATCATCGGATTCCCATGCTGCTAATAAGAATCAGTTGTGTGTACAGCTACTCCGTACGGCAGTACAGTATCTCCGGTTCCCTCGTGTAGTGCTGTATTCTCGTCAGCCAATCACAAATCGGCATGGTCTGGGATCAGAATGATTCATCCGCACTAGTGAAAGCGGCAGGCTCAATCCTCCCACTATCTTGCACAGAACCAGCAAGAAAACGGGAAATTGTGGCTTGAAGCTTGCTGTTAGGAAAAAGAGAGATAATTATATAGGCGTAGATGGTCCCTTCATAGTAGAGTAATCAAATCACCTCATCATACAACTGAAGAAGTCATACCTGCAACTCAACCATCCTCCATCACCACCATCTTAGCTCCCAGACGTAAAGGAAAAGAAGTAGATATTCGCGGTATTTCACCCCGAATTCTAGGTAACAAACCAAACACCGCCGTCATGACGTCCATGGAAGCAGAAAGTGTCACGACCATCCTATGTACTTCAAAACAGACCAGGTTCAACATTGGCGTGCCCAACTACCGCGAGGTGAGCTTGCTATCTCTCTTCTTCCCCGCCAGAAAATGTACATGTATATACAGGCGTATATACCGCTGTTATCGAATTTATCGCTGCGAAAAGGATTTTTAGATTAACATATGTTTTTTATTAGCTAGATATCGAGGGTTTGAGTATAACAGTGACTTCTGTTGCCTCGTCAAAAGGCAAAGGTAGTAGTAAAGCAGGCAAGGGCAAGGCTCGAAGCGAAGGAACTGAGGTTCTCGATAATGCCACCCTCCGCTTGAAAGCCGGCCTGCGATATGCACTCGTCGGACGAAATGGATCAGGAAAATCAAGTAAGTCATACGAATCAGCGTATAATGAGGGGGATGGGGAGAAGACGAGGAGGGAGAACAGTGTAACAGGAAACGGCAGCTAATAAGCGTTCATGGTATAGCATTACTGAAAGCCATTGCGCAGAAGTTGATCCCCGGCAGTAAGTCAACACCATGAAGCTTTACCCTCACATACTTCGAAGCCCGCGAAAGAAGGATATGCTAGATGAGACGACTTTCATGTCTCGATAATCCACTATAGTCTCAAAGCACCTGCTCACTTACAAATCAATTCCACCGACTGACAAGTACAAAGTACCGGAGGAGACACGCATCGTAATCTTACAACAAACCGACGCAGGCGACGTCAACACGGATGCGGATCCAGACCGACCCTTCTCGCACCCGTCAGCTGCGGGCGACCGGAGTGTGCTAGAAGAAGTCATCGAGCGCGCCACGGCTAGACATGAAGCACAACGGGAACTAGACGGTAAGATTCTCGCCTTAACATCGTCGCCAGGTCCGCAAATAAGCAGTGTTAACATGACATACAAAGATCTATCACAGGGCGTGGAGAGCACGAACTCGTTCGCCGCCATCCGAAGTCTACGGAGAATCCGTCGCGAGCGCCTGCAAAAGGATCTATTTCTAAAAGCCAAGGACGCGAAACTCCGAAGCGGAGCGCGAGGTATGCAGGCGCGGAAAGCCCTGATAGCAACCGAAAAGACAGTCGCCGAGTTCGACACGATGTACGTCCCGCATCTCCCCAAGCCAAGTAATTTAGGTAAACTACTTGATAACGGGTAGTATCCAGGTTATTGAGTTAACGATGCGCTTGAGCTGACGTGATCAAGATACGCACAAAAGGACGATGAGATATCCCCCGAGACGCTCGCCAAGGAGACGAGCGAGGCAGCCGAACTGCTCGCGGACCTGCAGCTCCAGGTCGAGCCGTCCAAGATGGCCGAGATCGAGGCGCGGGCGAAGAAGCTACTGACGGGTCTCGGCTTCTCCGAGAGCACCATGGCAAAGCCAGTGTCGAGCTTATCCGGCGGGTGGCGCATGCGGACAGCATTAGCATCCGCGCTGCTCCAGGATACGGATATTCTGATCCTCGACGAGCCGACGAATTTCCTGGACCTGCTGGGCATTCTGTGGTTGCAGCGGTATCTGACGACGACGCTCGGGGAGTCGGCCGATGCGCCGACGCTCATCCTCGTGTCGCACGACCGCGACTTCATCTCGCTGTGCACTGACCTTCTCATCCTCAAGGCGAAAGGGATCACGTACTTCCACGGCGACCTGCCGACGTATGAAGAGGCGCAGGGGGAGAAGAAGATCTACCTGACCAAGATGAAGGAAGCTAAAGACAAGCAGAAAGATCATATCCAGCAAACGTGAGTTGTCTTCCCCCCTCTGAGCACTACAGGGGGTTTATTTCATCGTCCTATGTGGCCAGACCTGCCACGCCGAGAAATTTTGTCCAATGCAGACAGAACTTATGAATTAACTCGTGGACGTCAAAAGCATACAGAAGAACATGCGCGAAGGCAAAGCCAAAGACGACCAGAACAAGATCCGACAAGCCAAGTCTCGCCAGAAGAAACTCGACGACCGCTGGGGCCTCGAAGTGAGCGCCAAAGGCGGCCGGTTCAAGCTGAACCGCGACCTCGTGGGTTACCATCTGACAAGCCGCGCCGAGATCGAGATACCGCAAGACGAGAGGCCCGTGCAATTCGTTCTGCCCGAGCCGCCAGACCTGCGATTTCCAGGCGCATTAATTGTGAGTTGGCCAGACAGATAGCTAGTCCCCAAGTTCCCCCCTTTTTTTCCCTTCCTGTCTCAGCCTGCCGTTGAGGATGGTTCCGTTTCGAGCTAGCATTCTTGTCTCGGAACCTCCGCATGCCTTCTAGAACGAAAATCTCGTGAGACGTGTGCACTGAAACAATGAGTTCAAGTAACTAACCCCTACGTGTGCCCCCCAAGTCACTAGACAAGACATCCTTCCGTTACCCCAGAGACGCGAGGTCGAAGACCATCCCGCCCCTGGTGTTGCAGGACGTCACGCTTTCCGTCCACATGGGCGACCGCATCGGGATCGTGGGGTTGAACGGTGGCGGCAAGTCCACGCTCATCAAGTTGCTCGTGGGCGAGACCAAGCCTACCTCGGGGACCCTCGCCACACACCCGCGGGTGAAGATAGGGTATTACTCCCAACATGCTGTGGAGAAACTCCAGGAGATAGGCGTCTCGGAGCCGGATCTAACGGCCCTCGCGCTATTGTCCAAGGAGATGGCAACTCCTGAGCAGGACGAAGGCCGTGTGCGTGCTCTACTGAGCTCCATTGGTCTATCCGGACGAGTCGTCTCCGACGTTCCCATTCGCAAATTGTCAGGTGGACAGCTAGTGCGGCTTGAAAGTGAGTACTAGTCTATCTATTCTTAGGGGGTTTAATACCTTTCGTTCCTGGTGATTCTAGAATACAGTGGCTTGCTTCCATGATCACAGTCATTGTCTCAAAACCCTTTTCACAGATTAAAAAAAAACACTGAGATAAAATCACACACGCTCAAATCGTAATTTACTAACCAGATGTCCCTTAGTGGCCCGCATACTATGGACAAGCCCGCACTGCCTGATCCTCGACGAAGCAACGACACACCTGGACTACGAGACAGTGACCGCCATGCGCGAGGCCCTGCGCGTCTGGCCGGGCGCCGTCGTAGTCGTCAGCCACGACCGGTGGTTCGTGCGCGGCGTCGTCGAGGGCCACGTGGACGACGATGATCATCTCTCCGACGACGACGAAGAGGAAGAGACCCCCAGGCGGAGGATAGTCTACCGTCTGCGAGCCGGACAGATGAGCGCGCTGAGCGGTGGCGTCCAGCAGTTTGAGACCAGCTTGGAGAAGAGAGTCGCCAAGCTGATGGACTCGTGAAACAAGCGCTTTGCTTTTCTTACTTGGTTTTTCTGCTATGAATAGCATTGCCATGGGGAATATATCTGCGCTTTGGAGTCTCTCCTGAGCGCGTCCTTTGCGAATAAGGTCGCAGTCATGGTTCGGAGTGTAGAGCATACCTTATTCAATCCCGTATCATACGGGGTAACGAGCTAAGAGCTGCAACGCTACCTACCGCTTGTATGACACGGGAGTTCAACACGTTTTCCCTTTCAACAACAGTTAAACCATTTCATCATCATGGGACGCGTGGCCGCGCAAACTTTGTATAACCCCGTCATTCCAAGTGAAGCCCCTCGGGATGCGCCAGGTGATCAATTCTCGTGTAATTAGGTGGCAAGATCATGGTGATATTCTAGGCCGTAGTGGTTTGTATTTCATTCTTCTAGAAAATGATTCGATGTGGGTAGGTATCAGCGCATACCGGTAGTTCCCCGACTGTAGTAATTCCACCAGATATTGAACGTTTCCACACGCTATAATTGGATTTTATGCCAAGGGGGGGTGTGAAAACTTGTGACAAACAGAGTCGGTCGTACACACCCTCGTGTTATTCGTATACACGTACTTACTTACGAGTTTCAGCAAATGAAACACGAAATACCTAACAGCCAGCAGACCAGAAAGGATTTTCCTTTTCGGTAGGGAACGTTACTTACAATATCGGTCTACTTGCAGCCAACTAGACCGTCTCCATGGGGATGTGTCCCCGACACCCCGGATATGCCTAGAGAAACCGGGCAATAACGCCGACGCCAAGGCTATAACGGGGAAAGGCAAATCATGAGGGTAGGATACCAGATCGATCCTCCCTTTCATTGCGCCGGCCCCGTGCGTGTGCGTGTGGGGGGAGGGAATCTCGATGAGTTTAATGCCTACATTAGCCGTATTATAACTTACAAGGTAGGACGCATTATCCTCTCCATGTTAGCTTGCTGCTCGCATCCAGTAGGTTGAGTATGTTGGTTTGATTGCTGCATTCCGCATTTACCCATGGGATCGAAATCCCTTCCCTTTCCAATATCCCGTAATAAGTAAGGAGTCCTTTGTACTGCCCTAATCAAACTTAAGTGACAAGGTTGTCTACACTACACTACACTACACTACTTATGCTGGACACAATCTGCAAAATTTTACAGTTGGAATTCGGATGGGTTTTATCATCGGGTCTTTGCGCCGTTACAAGCTATGTCGGCGTAATTTCAATCAAGCAAACGTGGAATAGCCAAAGGTAGGCCTTTTCCTACATAGTCTGAACCTAAGTTGGTGTATCTCGTACGTAAGAGGCTCGGCTAGTTCAATCGGGCCCAGCCGAGGTCGAATCCAGACTCATCATCATATGGGCCCCGTAACGATGGTGAAAATCTTTCTTGAAGCGTGACCCGGCGTATTGAAAGGTTTTGCTCGGGATATCACATTGTTGGGTGTGTTGTATGTGTGTTACTCCTCGTTATTTCGAAGTGGCATTGTTCTTAGCTCATGGTAGGTAGGTAGGTAAGCAGATTTCAGCGGAACAGGCCATGGACAACAACTGATTGGTCGCATGACCAAGAGTAGAACAACGCAGTCGGCGGTTGGTAGCGCATCAGGTGACTACCTAGATGTTAAACCCCGAGGAGAAGAAGAAGAAGATTTAGAAAAGGGGGTACTGGTATCCATGATGAGCTGAGGGTGGTGTCACACGTGACACACAGCTGGGACCGACAGGTAGGTTACCTAAGTAAGTAGGTAGTTACGGAGACGAAACTAAAACCCACCGATGCAAGCAAATCTCGGTTTCAGGGGTGACTGAGGCAGCTCAAGGTGAGGCAAGGCAGGGCAGGGTAAGGCGAAGAGAACGTGGCAACGGGCCTGGGAGAGGCAAGCAAGCAACTACACGTAAAGTAGGTAGGTAAGCAAGCTGGGCGTGAAGACTCACGGGCTGCACGGGGTTAATCGAGTTCCGTTTTTGGGCAACGTTGGACCACGAGACCACGAGGTTCAGCAACATTGCCTAGTCCCATTCAAGAATCCAAGCGCTCGGTAAGTAAGTAAGTGTACATTCATCTTACTATGTACAGTAGTTTCTTCACGTAGCGGCCTCGGTAGGCTAAATAGAGTACCTATTAGCATTTGTTACCTCTTAGCAATGCCTGACGCATTTTCTAGTACGCACATCTGACACTTACTATGTACTTAAGTAATTGCATGTAGCTTGTACAGTGTGCATATAGCTTTGAATTACAGTGTAGATAGTCTCGATCGTGGGCAGGATCGGTGCAGCTTTGTGGATTTTGTGAGCTCTGCCATCTGGAGCTGACATAGCGACCCATTTAAGTACCTTGGTATTGTCTATGCCATATTATCAGATCATAGGTAAGCAGATCTCTGACCAGATCACAGTAGCGGATTTACACTGAAACCACTTTTACCCCAGGTCTGCCCAGCCTAAGTAAAGTGGGAATATCCAATCCGGACAATTGGTAACTAACTGTTGGCCAGAAGTAGTTACCTGTTGGGTTAGGCTTCACATGAGCAGTAATATGTAGTAGGTAGATATAGGTATTTCAAGCTTGGACCTCTTGCTGTACAGCGGCCACCTGCATGTTTTTCTATATTCGTCTTGCTACACCATTTCCGCTCCTAGGTACTCAAACCCAAGATCAATCACTAGCCGGTAACTAACATCCTACAATAGCAAGGGTTAGGTACCGCCGATGGATTCCCGCCATAACCGTGGGATGGCATTGTGGGAGGAATACGATTGGTGGATGATCTATGACCTGAGGTCCTAGTGGCTGATGAGGGTGACCGTGTTTGCGCCGAAGCCCCTCCTCGGCTTCGTTCCGATCTTGCAAGAGAGAGCGTAGAGAACAAAGAAACAAAGAAAAAAAAACGTGTCACCGGATGCGGCTGTCTTGGCTTCTAACAGTCCTACATTGGTACGTATTCCTGTCGCAACACCGTCACCCAAGGTAGGGTATTGAGGGACCGTTGTTGTGTAGTACGGCATAGAAGGGCAATAAAGGTGAGGGAAGTTGAGAGCTGGGGCAGATCCCTAGCTTCCAATGAGAGACTCGAAGGGAACAGTTTTCGCGTTACAGTTGATTAATTGCCTTGCTGAGAAGAGAAGTTGGCGCGCGTATTCGGTCGAATCATCACCACCATCCCTCTGGTAATACTCTTGAGAGTCAAATGGAGGCACGCCGTTTCTATCGCCCACAGACAACGCCAATGACACAAGCACACTTATCTGTAGGTACTATGTAAGTATGCACACCACTGCTACCTATACACATAATTTGTACAGAATAAAGGCACCTCCTGTACATACAGTACTCTAGAGATGTTGGCTCGTATAGTAAGTAGTAAGATGGTAACAAGTGATCAAAGGGTAATTAAACAGAACAAGCCTTGACTAGTATAGTTCATGATATAGTTCATGATGGAAAAGAAGGTATTCGGGCCGATAGCATAGCGCGCCTCGTCTCGAGCTGGGGAGCGCTACTTTAGAGGTTCCGGGGGATTGGGGTCGGAAGCTAAGCAGACATGGATACCAACGCAGCCGAAGTAAAGTAGCGTGCCCTCACTGTACAAGGAATAAGTATACTACATGTAGTACTTACCCCCAGGATGTACCCCATTGCAGACCCATGGGGTCAGGCGCAATAGGAGGTACAGTAGGTAGGTAGTTAGTACATAGCATGACACTTTTATGTAGCTGAGGATAGGCATCCTACGGGGTAACTGGTCCTTGCTGAGTTGGAATCTGTATCTGATGTCTCTTAAGTGTGCGCATCTGGATCTATTGTAGGTAGGTGGATAAGTGAAGATGACGGCTGCTAAGTGAGCATGTGGCCTCCAGTCTTCTCAGTAAGCTACTGTTCAAGTATATCCGCATAGGGTATATCAGAAATTGGTGATTAAAACAGCGTCCTGAAGGAATGGATGCTAGTGCTCTGCAACCATTAAGGGCATTCATCGAACGTACTATCACACCCGAATGGAAGGTCACTTACAGAGAGATGTCAGCACTTTTGGTAGACAATAGACAAGACTATACAGTGCCGTCGGTGTAGATCACCAGACTCAGCATCTGAGATAACTCGAGCCCTCGGCCGGATGCGTCCATGTGGCCCGGGTTGCAGTGCGGCTGCTATGTGCCGTAACGCGACTCACATGGAGGCAAGGATGACAATGACGACGGCGATGGTGGTTGGCAGGACGTCCACTGCTCCGCTGCATCCACGGCCAACAATAGGGTGTATCGGCCAGTCAACAGAGCAAAAGATCCGAGTGGTTGTCTTGGTGGTGCCTTCGGCGTCCGGCCAATTTGGAATCCAGCCGCATGCAGCACGTTCGACAACGCGCCGGTCGAAACCAATCGAAGGCGAAATACCTACCTCAGCAGGCCATCCATCAGAAGACTACCACGAGCATACAGCATACTAGGTAAGTGAGTAGATACGCTCTGCTGAGCTCTGCTAACCACAGACGATGACGGTTGTGGCATGATGGGGCTGCATGCAACTGCCTTCTTCACGCACCGCGGCTGGGTATTGGATGTCTCTCCGCGAGCGCCACCGTTGAAGGATCTGCCAATGGAACCCTTCGAAGGCCAAGCGAAGCAAGCGATTGTCTGTCGAGCAGCGCCAACAATGCCAACAATGCTAACAATGCGGCACCAGGTATTTCAGATCAAGTGCCAAAGTGGCGCCCGATGGCGTTGGAACTAAGGCGTGTGGGGTTGATGAAGTACCGAGTACTGCGAAAATCACAAATGACCTCTAAAAACCAGGTGACAAACTCTGAGTTACAGTGCTGCCAATTTGCACATTCCAGTTGAGCTTGTAGTACCTTTTACATTCTAACCCAATACCTCCTCACATGACACCTACGGTCAGTACACGCAAAGGCAGCCAGATCTTCTCGGTATTTATTCATATGTACTTTATCTAGTTGGCATTTTCACATGTAAAGGTACTCGCTTATTTAAGAATAAAGAGACTCCAAAAAGGGCGGGACAGCCATGCCTACACAGTAGGTACAGTAGGTAGCTGCTACGTAGGTAGTGCTAAGATGACCCGTCAATACCTACCACGACGAATCGAGAATGGTAAATGTAACGTCGCCTCTACCTCCAGGACAAAGCGAGGGTGTCTAGGCGACGCCTAACTTTCCTCCATGTCGCGCATGGCTCCTGGGAGTGGTGTAGTGTGCTCTCGCGGCTCGATGAGGCATGTGGTCCAGACGGATTCCTATACGTCGACGGAAGCGCTCGAATATCCGCGGCTGAGCGCCATGATTCTCCCGCACGAGACATCTGCGTTTGCGCCTCATCAGCTTCAGCGTGACCGATTGAGATTTCTTCCCCGTTTTGGCAAGCAGCCGTGGCCGGCCTTGCTTATGAGGTCATTCTCCCGTCTCGTCGGGGAATAGCTAGGTAGGTAGACGGATGCGGTCCAGAGTCTCACTCTAAGCTACTTACTTACATTCTAGCAAGTTGAAGCGCATACCAATTGACTAGGTACGCCCCCGTCCCCAGAATGGCTCCCTCAGTATCTGGGTTATTGTCTCGACGGATCTAATACCTACCTAGCCACTCAGATCGAATGAGTCACTGCTTAGGGAATCATTCTAAGTAAATGTTTTTTGTTTTGTTTTTTTTGGGCCCCCTTCCCTTCTACGTGCGTATCCAATGCACTACTAGCATGGACTCGAGACCCGCGAGTTCATGTTAGGCGCGGCGCAGCAATACCAATATTATTCAATGACAACCGCGATTCATGAAATCGTGGAGGGAGGGTCTCATCGAATTGCCTCGGCTTGGCCGTGGGAGCATGCCAGGCTGATACTACCCTCTCAATCATCTACAAACACACAAACATCTAGGTAGCATAATGTAGTCACCATCGGACTAGGTACCCAGGCACTGTAGATTATAGTCAACACTACTAATAGAGTAACATCATGAATTACTTACTCGTATAGGTAGTCGATACAAATGGTTTATTTTTAAATTTACCTGCTCTCTTTGATCGCGTTATTCGTTCCACTCTACAGTTACCTAGTTAGTGGTCATAAGAGATAGAGCCGATATTAGCCTTTACCTAGGTACTTTACCTACCCTGAATTGAAGTACATATCTGGGGAAGTAAGTACCTGTACTGTATGTACTCCAATGTGGGTAGTCTGTGGGTAGCGAGGTGCATGTGTACTATAGGGCATTTAGTGAGTGTAGGCACTTTTCCTCTATAAAATATACCCACCGGAAAAGCGACGCTAGTACTTTTCAAGGATGGCAAGCCGGGGTGAGCTACTCTCAATCCGTCGTCGTTCCCCCCATCCAGACCCATTTCTCCATCTGTTCCCCAACTCTCTCCAGCTTGGCCTCCAGCTTGGGGCCTCCCCCCTCCGGCCCAAACCGTCTCTGGCATGAAGCAGCCATGGGGAGACGGGGCAGTGGACGGGGCGACGACGCGATGGGCTTTCGAAATGGCCACTGGACTGAAGGGGAGTTACGCCCGTCCGCCCCTCGGTCAAACCAAGAAGGATCCCCTCCCCTCCCACAGCAAAAAGACGGCCCTTTTCCACCCCTGTCTATAAGCCGGCACCCTGGCTGCAGGCCTTGGCCAGCCCAATCACCTCGACCAGTCGCTCGACCAGTCTCTCTCGATGCCAGAACCAAGCATTGACCGCTCCGACACCTACTGGATCAACAACCTCGTGTCGAATTCTCTCTCGTGGTTCACCTGTTCGCCCCCGAGATTTGGGCTCTGATTTGGGGAGGCGAGTTGAGTTAGCCTGCTAGACCTGCTTGCCTACGCATACACTACTGCACAATCACATCCCTCCCTCCCTGCGCTGCTAGTGTGGTGCAATGCGTGGTGCAGTGTACATCTTACAGTACAGTGCTTGCTTGCTTGCCGTATGCGTAGGTACGGTAGGTAGTCTGGTAGGTAGACAGACAGACAGACAGGTAGGAAAAGTGTAACCGTTTTCATAACTACCCCTGTATTGTACGACGCTTGTCCCTCTCCCCATGCTGCTCCATGCCATGGAAAGTCCAGTAGGCCTGGGCCGGGGTGTGTCGATGTGACCACGCCATGTACCTTGTGTCGAAAGTCGTGAAAGGGTCCCTTTATCGCGAGAGCTGCCACCCTGTATATATATCCCATCCCGACTGCCCTCTTCCCTCCAGCTCGTCTTCCTTTTCTTCCTCTGTCGGTTACCACCATCTTCACAACTCACAACCTCCCTGGTCTGAAAGGGATCGGCAACGAGCCGTCCGGTCTGCCCTAGCAACCTTCCAGTTCTACCAAGCTCGACAAGAAAGACACGAAAAGCAATCAGAGAGGCGCCATCATGGCTGGAGGTGCGATTGTCACGGGGACGAGCGATGTCTCGCGTGTCGAGGCTCCCGTTACACTCAAGGCCTACTTGATTTGTGCCTTTGCCGCCTTCGGTGGTATTTTCTTCGGTTATGACACCGGTAAGACTGCCCGCCCCCCTCGCGCGGTAAGCGTCTCGGCGCTCTCCTGGTCACTGACACTCTGATAGGTTGGATGGGTGGTGTGCTTGCCATGCCCTACTTTATCCGTCTCTACACTGGCCTTCCCTATGATTTCGACGTCGGCGCGCCCATCGGTATAGATCCGAAGGAGTTCATTATCCCTACTCCTACCGCATCTCTCTTCACCTCAATTCTGTCTCTCGGTACCTTCCTCGGCGCGCTTGTAGGTGGTGATATCGCCGACTTCATTGGCCGTCGACCTACCATCATTGGTGGCTGCATCGTCTTCTCTGTCGGTTGCATTCTCGAAATTGCCAGCACGAACCAGGAGGTCCTCTTCGTTTTCGGCCGTCTGATTGCTGGTGGTGGTGTCGGTTTCATCTCGGCCGTCGTCATTCTATACATGTCCGAAATTGCCCCCAAGAAGGTGCGTGGTGCCATGGTCTCTGGTTACCAATTCTGTATCACCATTGGTATTTTGCTTGCCAATGTCGTTGTTTACGCCACGCAAAACCGTAATGACACGGGCTCTTACCGTATCCCCATCGGCGTTCAGTTCCTCTGGGCTCTCATTCTGGGTATTGGTCTTCTCATCCTGCCTGAGTCTCCCCGTTACTGGGTCAAGAAGGGTGAGATCGAAAAAGCAGCCAAGTCTCTGGCCTATGTTCGTGGACAGCCCCAAGAATCAGATTACATCAAGGACGAACTCGCTGAGATTATTGCCAACAACGAATTCGAGATGGCCAACATTCCCCAGATGAGCTACGTCCAGTCTTGGTTGGCGTGTCTTAAGGGCTCACTCTCCAAGGGTGACAGCCCTATTCGCCGAACGATCCTAGGTGCCGGTCTGCAGTGTGCCCAGCAATTCACCGGCATCAACTTCATTTTCTACTATGGACCTCCCTTCTTCACGCAGCTTGGAACTATCCAAAACCCTTTCCTCATCTCGCTTATCACTACGCTAGTCAATGTGCTATCAACCCCTATCTCGTTCTTTACCATCGAGAGGTTCGGTCGTCGTGCTATTCTGATTTGTGGTGGTATTGGCATGGTTGTCTGCCAATTCATCATTGCTATCGTCGGCGTGACAGCCGGTAGGATTGAGCTCGGTAACAACGCCGCTGTCTCAGCTATGATCTCTTTCATCTCAATCAACATCGCCTTCTTCGCCAGTACCTGGGGCCCAACCGCCTGGGTCGTGGTTGGTGAGATCTTCCCTCTACCAATTCGTTCCCGTGGTGTTGGTATCTCGACAGCGTCCAACTGGTTCTGGAACACCATCATTGGTAAGCAAACACGCAAATCTCTACTTCATCTCATGATGTTTGCTGACTCGTTTCTAAACAGCTGTTATCACGCCATACTTGACCAACACTGATAAGGCCAACCTTGGTGCTAAGGTGTTCTTCATCTGGGGATCTGCCTGCATCTTCAGCACTCTTTTCGCCTACTTCTTCGTTTACGAGCTCAAGGGTCTATCCCTCGAACAGGCTGACATGTGTATGGCCTCGACAACTCCACGTCAATCCGCCAGCTGGAAACCCGACCACACTTATGCCACCGAGATGCACCAGACCGCCGAAGACCAGGCTCTCGCGTCTTCAGATAAGGCCAACGATGAGAAAGTTTAAACCAGCGCATCTCCCAACGCTTGTGCATCTGTTGTAGATTGTTAATGTCCTGGTGATAAAAAGATCTTGACTTACAAGGGCCTACTAAACTCATGTGGAACATGTGTCAAAGATTCCTCTCATATCATATATATATAAGCATGTCATTTCATGATACCTAAGATATCCCCGGGTTTTCGCTGGATAGAGCAGCCCAATTACATAGTAATAAATAAACTATTGGATAGTTTTCAAGTCAACCCTTTTTTTTTTTTTTTTTTTTTTTTTTTTTTTTTTTTTTTATTTTTTTTTTTTTTATTTTTTTTTTTTTTTTTTTTTTTTTTTTTTTTTATTTTTTTTTTTTTTTTTTTTTACTTTAATTTATCATATTTTTTCCCCGGTTTTTTGTGTTTTTATCCCCCCCAATTTAAATTTAATAAAAAAAAATTTTGTTTTTTTTAAATTCAACCCTTTTTTTTTTTTTTTTTTTTTTTTTTTTTTTTTTTTATAAGTGGATGCTTGCTGTAAACTTCTATTGCAATGTTCGAGAAGCACACTCAACCCACAGAGATCCCTCCCCAAAGAGCAAAGGGCTCTCTCGCGACTGGCGTATCATCGTTCTTTTCTCACAGACACAACATTGCAACGCCCTCAACTTCTATCCACACCCAGTCAGTAAGTTGCCTGCCTGCCTGCCTGCCTGCCTGCCTGCCTGCTTTCAAAGGTCTCCCTCGTCCTTGTTCGCTCGGAGCAAAGCTCGGGGAGATATAAACATTCTACAGTACGCGCCTCGACAAAGAACTCGCGGACAAGGTCGCATGTGTTTCGGCGGCGCGAGCCGTCCGAATGGGGAAGGTAGGTAGGTACCTACATACCACCTGCTGTGTAGTGTGCATACGGTAGGTAGTGTAGGTAGGTTTGTTTTACCTTGGGTGGCGAGGGTGCGAACTACTCTACTTGAATACGAATCGCTGTGCATACAGATCTACACTGATATGTGTGTATATATGTATCTGAATGCGTATAACTGTGTATAATTCTTAGAGGAGGGAGGGGTAATAGCTCTAGGTAGATAAGAGGTCTCCCGTCGGGGGTATACATTGGACACTAGGTAGGACGAGGAAAGGAGATGTTGAAACAAACGACTTTCCAGGTTTTATTACTTGAACATTTACAGCATTGGTACATAGTTGTCCATCGAGTACTGTGCCTCACTCCTCTAATTACGTGAACAGGGAATGCTCCCTGAAAAGTGTACTTGGATCATTATCCATTACAAGTCATTCGCTTCTCCTCGCGGGGGGGGGGGGGGGGGGGGGGGGGGGGGGCGGGGGGGGGCGGGGGGGGGGGGGGGGGGCGGGGGGGGGGGGCGGGGGGGAGCGGGGGGGGGGGGGGGGGCGCGCCGAATG